TGAACCAGACCTGACCCCATTGTATTGCGAGAGCATTAATGACAAGAGAGACCTGGCAGAGGACAGCAAGTTGGGTTTGAGCGTGCAGTGTGATACGGCAGGCAAAAAGGACCACAGTGGCTGAAATACAGAATCACAGACCGAGGTGGCAACAGTTCCTCTTACTTCAACCCTCGTGAGTGTGGACCTCAAGTTCTCCCTGTTGCCATACCAGCAAGAGGTCGGCAACTTGGATGAGACTTGGAGAAGCGCATCAAAAATAACTATGGGGCTGGAACAGCTGGCTGGGGAGGCCACGTGAAAGAATTAAGTATGCATTACATCCACCAAATGACTGGGAGGAGTAAATATGCTTAACAGCTGCAAGTGCTGAAAGGAAGAGGATCGCTTTAGGCTAATCTGATGAGATGTAAACTAGGGTACTAAGATGACATTAAGTAAACGAAAATGTAACCCCCACTGCTAAGACAGTATTCCCGTTACTGAGAACCGCTGACTGAGGATTAATGACCCCACTGGAACAGTGCTAGCTTTGCTGCTCAGGTCACCTAACGCTGGGCTGGGAAAAATCTCAGTCGGTGGTAGGAAACATTCGTGCATCAGTGGGGAGATGCTCAATGACCTCGTAAGTATTTCCATCTCTAATTTCTCAGACTCTTTGCAAATATTATTCCTTTAATATAATGACAGCTACTGAGAGGACAGTTTGCACTTTTATTTCTCTCCATGCTATTGAGTCTCTCTCTCTCTGGGAATTAAACTACAATTATATTGAGGTTAGTGGAGTTTTCCCTCATTCTATTTAAAAGATAAATATCACGGCATTAGTTACAGGACATTTAAAAAAAATTATATATATATTCTTGACAATCCTGCCACTTATAGTTACGTCAGGCAAAAATAGTGTCTCAGGAAGCGCACATGCTGGTTCCTCCCCGGAGAGGATTCTGCTCCTCAGACTGAAAGCTGAAGACCCCACCGAGTGCACCCCATTGAACCTCCACTCACTAGATCCCGTGCAATGACCACCAACCTCTGAGGAGGACTGGAAGTGACTCCTTTTAGAGCCCCTCAATGCTTCTCCTTAAATTGGCCAGTGGGGGTCACTGCTGTTGAATGACACAAGGCTCCATCCCTCCCAGGGTTGAGGCTGCAGCTCTGGAGTGCTCCTAGCTCCTGCTCATGGAGTGAGAAGCAGAATCCAAGAATTAAACCCTAGTCTCTTGCACGGCAGCACACACTGCTATGGCCTAGTTATGGTAGCACATATTTGACTAGATTAGTTTAAAAAAGATTTAGACTGTAGTCACTCAATCTTATTAATTTACTCTGTGATTAGAAACAACATTTTTGGTCAAGGAATGTCTCATGATAGTAAAGTATGGTTGCAGTGAAGCACTGTAAATAAAGCAGTGGATGTTTTACATTATGTGATAGAAATGTATTATTTAAGAATATAACCACAAAAGCAGCTTTCATGTATATCATACCTTTCATCCTGAAATAACCCTAATTGCCATCCAAACTTAAATTGATGCATATAAACTATACACAGAGATCACTTCATACACAACTCAAATGCAAGCACTTCTCTTTAACAGACCGGTCATTTCTCAAGCTTCATCTTTTTTACACTAGCCTCGAAATTTAGCTCTGCTATGCCCTATTATGTAATGAAACTTTTTAACTTGGGATTTTAAAGATCATCCGATGGCTAAACAGTAATGTCTTACTGGAGTCTGGAGGTAAAAATGTGTGGTGGGCCATGTAAAATTCCCCATCCTTATGCCTGCCATCTTTGCTGCTGTTAGTATGTAGCCCTGCTCAGTGTGTTACCGTGATTAGTTCGTAGCTCAGGTGTCACAGTCCCCAGAAGGAGAAGAACAGTGCTTCACAAGCCTGAGATAATTAAAAACGCCTGGAACTACCAAGTATATTGTTCAAGCAAGTCTGATACTCCAAGGACTGAAGGTTGCACTAGTTTTAGCAGCCAGCATACCTCTTAAGTTCTAAGTCAAAAGAAGAAGGGTACCTCCTCCTGCTTTCCTTCCTTCCTTCAGAATTGTATTAGGGGTGATTATTTTAATAATTGACTTCTTAGCTCCTTGCCACAAAAATTATTAATGACTGAGAGCCCCATTGCTGCCCACACCCGTAATGGTCACTGCCTCCAAGACAAAAACATCGGACTGATGTGAGTGTTGAAATGATCTATAGAAACAGAACTGACATTTTAATTAGGTTTCAGAGTAAACACTTTCTAGAGGAAAATGGTTATCTTTCACATCTCATCATAGTCCTCTCTGTTAACTTGACATTCTGGTCTTGTTTGGAATATTTTTTCTGAAGTGCAACAACTGGAAACCAATTTGTTCAGTCTCATCTCTCCTTGCGGCTAAATCTTAGATTCTGAATTGCACAATTCTGAGACATGGGATAATTTCTGACACTAATCTTCTGGCCCTGGAACTGTAGCTCTGGTACTACTACATCCATTACAAACCACCTAAACCTACCCCTCATTTCTGAAACATGTAAGAGATTGTATTGCTCCCTTCCACATTAGCAGGTTTATTTATGGATTTGGCTTTTGAGGAGCTTACAGAGAACTACAAAGAGAAGGAGAGATTATTGAGGTATGTAACTTGCTTAAAGAGTGCAAGGAGGCTCTAAATAAGACTCCGGATGTAGCAAAGAACATTTGATTTACTTAGTGGCATGTAGTTATGCTTTATTGTTTCCAACACAAATGATATTTTACTGGGTTCATGGTCACAGTATTACACTCAACAGGATCTTCATTAGTAAATGAAAGCAAAATCCACCTATTAATTTCTGTGGTTATGACTGGGAGCAGCCTAGAGCAATGGGTCTTAGAGTTTGTGAGAGTTGTGCATTGCTGTCAAATTTCCAAATTCAAACAGATGAAAATGGATCAATGTGCACATTTTTTATTGAACTTAACAGAAAGTGATATGGCTGTATGGACCTCTTCTGATGATCTTGCATATACCTGTAATCCACAGATCACAGTGTACAAGTCACTGCTTTACGTACAAGGGTCTGCACTTGCAAGAAAGTTTTATTTGAAACAAAAGAATACGAAAAACGCAAAGGAATACAATTTCAGCCAGTAAAGAGGCTTGAAAACTGAGCAAAGACTTGGGAAAACACTGCAGCTAGCTTCAAATATTGAAGGAAATAGTACTGTGTAAGTGATAAGGCAGTGACACACCCAAATTAGATAACTGATTTCTTTAAAAGCATAGGAAAGCTAACATTAGAAAGGCAGGTTTTCTATGAACCTTGCAGAAGGAGTCTTACCCATCTTTGCTCTTTGTTTGGAGGAAAGAGGAAATTGGTAATTCCAGTTTCTGCACAATGGGTTAACGTTTCTTCCAAAAATCAGACGTGATGGAGAACATGAACAAAACTGAGAACAGTTCAAATGACTGGCATCTGCTGAGACTGAAACAGCTGAGTGGACTACAATTTGTGGGTCCCTGTACTGTCAACTTTCTTTATGCATGAAAAAAAGCCTGTGGAAATCACTGGAAGTACTGAGCCTGCACCAATGAGAGCCTGGGAGAAGAAAACTTCTGGTGAGAAAAATGTTTTTGTATTTGTGCTATTGGAGAGACTTCAGTGGCACTTGGTTCTGCTTCCAACACACTACGGTGTGTTGCCTCAGCACTTACAGATTCAAGTCAAAAGAATCACTAGCCAAGTAATAGGCCAACCTAGGCATGAGTTGTGCAGTGCAATCATGTAGCACACTGGCTAACTACATTTGTTTTAAGAATGCAGGAAATACGTAGTATGTAGGAAAGGTGTTAAACAAGGGACTTGGGCAGGAAGAGTCATATTGACATGAGGAGATGCTGAAGGTCTGCAACCCGTAGCATGAGAACTAACAGAATCACAGAAACCACATTACAGAGGAAAATGAGTGTAATAGAGTGCAAGTGACTGTCAAAAGGGCAAAACTTTGTATTCTATTTAACAGGGCTGAGAAAGTATAAAAAAATAGAGATATGAGGACAGACTGCAACTGACCCTTTTCAAATTACTGATGAGAGGGAAGATGCACGCATACCCACCCACTGGCAGAGGCCCTTAAGATGCTTTCGAAGACTGTGTTGTTAAAGATGTATCAGAATGTGTCAACACAGTCAAAGCGCTCATGAATTTAAGGCAACAGAAAGGGCACAAATGATACTGATTGATTAGGCTGCAGCAACTGAACTTCAGGGTGCAGTGCCAACGTGACCCATCATCATTTCACTTTCTGGGCTTGGCTCTGTATTGTCAGCACTGTCCCTGCCTGAAGAACTGATCAGAAAATAACACAGGTAGAGGAACTGGCACAACCTCCTATTTCTGAAGAAGAACAGGTGTGTGACAAAAAATGGTCCATCTCACTGATCAAGGTTTGCTCAGCCCCATGTATTTATCTGAAGATCTGGAAGGGGCTATGAGGAAAATGACAAATCTCTCTGAAGTTTCAAGCTTTGTCATAGCTGATGGTACTCCAGCTGCTTTCCAGTCACTGTCCTGAACATGGAACATTTGCCTCTCCAGACATGGTGACCTCATCAAAGAAACAGAAGTTTCTTTGGTGTGGGTGAGAAACATGGATGAAGGATATGGTAAGTTAACACATTTGCCATAGTGTACACAGCACTACTGTAGGAGCAAAACTGATGTCCTAAACCAAGAAATATTACATAGAATAGAGGCTAAAGAAATATTCTCTAACCAGGATTAACTTACTATCAAAGAGAAACCAACATAGGAGCATAAAAGTGACAGGAAATTAGGAGTTAGATTCTATTATGGTGAAGAGACTGGTTTTGCTAGCTGGGAAGAAATCACTGGAGAAAAAGAGAAAGCGGGAGTACATGACTTCATATTAATCCAAGTTTGGTATGGGTATGAGCTCATTGTTGGGGTTCTCCAGAGAGGATGACGGGAAAAGTAGAACTGAAACTAGCTCTGCTTATGTGAGTCATCTGGACAGAAGATGCAATGATTTTATTCCTCTTCTCTAATAATGAGGGGGAAAATGCTTTTAACACTGAAAATGAATTATTTCAATAGTGTTTTTTCTACTGAGCAGGAAAGTCCCATTCACAGAAAGTCCTATGGCCAAATGAAACTTATAGTTAGCAGAAAAATGTCAAATTGTGTTTGAGGATATCTTGGTTTCTATTGCATATAAGGAAAATCAAACATTAACTACTGAATGATTCTCTTAAGGTAAAGTTAAGAGAAGGAGACAAAAAGCAAGCTACTGCTACCTGCAACTAACTTCACAAAGCAGTGGCATGCCTGTAATAAGGCCCACTTCAAAGAATGCATAATTTTGAAGAGACATGGTAACATCTCTCTATTTAACTGAAAAGTGTTGAATAGTTTTACACTAAAATATCCTACTGCTAAAATTATTTTGAGTTCTGTCTACTCTACAGGGTGGCCCAACCACCAGTTCCATCTGGTTTACTGTGTTTGCTGTGGGGAAGATAGGAAGAGCTGTTAGTATGTCAAACCAAACGGCTAAGCATTTTCCACTGTGCAGAGGGAAAGCAGAAGAGTCCTAAAAATGGAACCTGATCCTCCATACAAAAGAGTTTGGACCATCTTGCTACTCTGGTACAGAGAGCAAACAATATTGAAAAATATTGACTATGCAGCATCCTGAAAGTCAATGAAGACTAAAAATCCATCCTTCATACCATGATAAACTTCACCATTATATCTCAGATGCTCAACTATCATCTCCATCGGGAAGAGTAAGCTTGACTACTTCATCTGTCAAGACTAGCCTTTCAGTACCTGAAGTCAGCCTGAATATCAGTGGGAGTGACAGGTAAGTATCAGAGGGCTCAATTACACTCGAACATATGAGCACACATGGCTACCACCGAAGCCAACAAAAGTCGTCTCTCAGGGAGGAGTAGGCTGAAGAGAGGCAGAGGATCAGATTGTGGTCCTACTGAACTGAACTCAGGGCAGGGAGTAGCCGAGATAAAGTAATTTTACTGTCTTTTAAACTTGGAGACAGCAGGGAACTATCTGGTTGCTCAGTTTTACACCTAATTGCTGTTTTTTTCTTAAATATGGTTGATTATTGATCCAAGGGGTTTCTTGGCAGACACAGTCAGTGAGGCAAGAGTGGCCCCTGCCACCAGGGGATCAGGCAGCTGGCCTTCAGACTGCTTTGTGCTGCCAGAAAAACCCAGATGCC